TGAGACCATTCATTTTGCCGCAACTTGATTAAAGTAGAGGGTGTCATGCTCAGTGAATGGAGTTAGCAGGAGAGCAAGGAATAACAGATGATGTCACTTCTATATGGAGTATGTAGAAGAAGTGAGAGAGTTGCAGTGACCAGTGAGATCAGACTCTGAAACTGTCTCTGGACCAGAAGTGACAAAGGCAGGGACAGGCACGAAAAGGGATATTAACTAGTGATGGGTGTGGTGCATTATCATTGTAAATCTAGAACATGGCTGTGAATTGTTGTAAATCATGATTGTTTCGTTAAAAATAGTAAAAATATCTAGAAAACAAAGAGCATAATATACTTCAGAAAAATGAAATTAGAAACTTAATAGAAATCAAAATCGAAAAAAAAAGCTATAGAGAAAGTTAACGAACTCAAACCATTGTTTGAAATACCAGCACGGTTGCTGAAGCTCTTAACAAGAATAAAAAAAGGATTAAAAGATATGAGACAAGTTATCAGTCTACAGAATTGAAATGGAAGATCTCACTATTAACCTCTCTCCTGAAGAAGGTCATAAGAAACTTCTATAAATTTAAAAATCTGAGTGAAATGAACCTTATCCTTGAAAATGAAAAGCTATTAAAACATAGCCCAAATAAAAGAGGTAACTGAAGAGTCCTAAACTTTTTAACAGAAAATAAAATCTTATTTACTGTGGCCACACCCATCAGTACTCAGGGCTTACTCCTGGCTATGTTCAGGAATCACTCCTGTGGGCTCAGGGGACCATTTGTGGTGGTGTAAATTGAACTGAGTCATCTACGTGTAAGACAAGTACATTACTTGCTGTACCATCTCTCCAGTCCCAGAAAAATAAGATTTATTTTAGGTGAACTAAATACAGAAGGAAATGAAAAACTAGACTAGAAGTAACAAAAGGACATTGGTGACGTGTCTTTAGTACTATATCAAATCCATTAACATGAACACTACTGTAAACATATGACTGTAACAAATACATTTTTACAGAAAAACTAAATATAAATTTTGGAGTGAAAATATGTACTATTTGAAATTTAAGCTTTTTAAAATTTAACATAATGCAGATAACAAGGAGCTGAAGTGATAACTGCCTTGCACGCGGTCGACAGAACCTACCCGGGTTCGATTCTTCCATTCCTCTCGGAGAGCCCAGCAAGCTATCAAGAGTATCTTGCCTGCACGGCAAAGCCTGGCAAGCTACCCATGATGTATTTGATATGTCAAGCACAGTAACAACAAGTCTCACAATGGAGACATTACTGGGCCCGCTCGAGCAAATCGATGAACAACAGGAGGACAGTGACAGTGACAGTGACAGCAGATAACAAGGAAAGAATCAGCGTGAAGGAATCCTCATTATTCTCCCTTTTCCCCACTCTTGAAAAAATTAAAAAATAGGGGAGCAATGGCAGGTGGGCCAATGGTGGAGCATTTGCCTTGTATGCATAAGGCCCTGGGTTCCATTCCAGGATCCCACCTCCCCCCAACACACACACACACACACACACACACACTCATATGCCCACGTGCACAAAGGGAAACAGACTGAGGCATCACTCAATAGGTTAAGTGTGTGCTTTGCATGCAGGAGGCTTTTGATTGGGTCTCTGGTACCACGTGATCCCCTGAGTCCAGAGCCAAGAGTTACCCCCAGGCAGCCCTGGCTGCGCCCTGCGTACCACCACCACCCTACAAATGAAAAAAAGATAGAAAATTATTGATGAACACAGCACAAGAGTGGTTGCAAAGGAGAATTGTTGGGTAAATGGGGTAAATGGGCAGATTGATTGGTCAGAGATACATAGTTTATATGATGCATATGCCCTTAAGGTAGAATGGACAGAACTGGAACTGTCATTAATATGGTAGTTTTAGGAAGCAGATCTTAGATGCTGAATATCTTAATTTATTTGCTTGTAGTCACATAGTCAAATCATTGCGTTGTATGTTTTAAATCATACAGATTTGTCAGTTATATCCCAATGAAGCTGGAAGAATGCAAAGTCAGGTTTTGGCTTCCAAGAAGAGCAGTGGGTTAGAGAGGCTGATGGTTAAATCAACATGCAGATTTGTCCTTTTGGGACCTTGTAATTTGGAGCTGTGTTGTGTTGGGCAAGTTCTGGAACCTTCTGTGGCCTCCCTTTTTCTTGGCAGCTTCACCACCCAGAGTGGTGATGAGATACGGAAGGTCCTCTGTATCTATCTCACTGGACCCACGCTCTGAAGGGAACTGTCAGTGCACAGTGACCCGGGAGGGAACCGTCAGATGGCTCCTCTGAGGCAGAAGATCTGGAGCCCTTTATGGGCGCAGTAGCGGCTGAGAGTGGGGACCATGAAAACTTGGATCCTCCAGCAGGTGTCTGCATGTGGGTGCTTTGGTCTTTAGCTGTTTTCTTTTCTGTTAGTGTCATGTTATAGTAGCTGGGATACCATCTGTCGATGAGCCTGGCTTATTTAAGAGAGTGAACACACATATTACTTTGAGATGAGTAGTCAGGCTGTTTCCAGAATGTGTTTGAGTACACTGACCTGTGTGGAAGAGCAGGCTAGGGAGCTTCCTGGTGGAGGAGGTGACTTCTGTCTTAAATCTTAAAGGAAAAAGGCAGCCTGACACAGAAGTGTGGGTAGAACTTTCAAGGGTCAGACAGAGCATGACTGAAGTGGGTTCAGATTCAGGGATTTGGAGCTGCTGGCCCAGGCCATGAAGGATGTCAGGTCCATGACAAAGAGTCCAGACTTCCTGCTGCATGTGTTAGGATTGGGATCCGTGTCTGGACACTGTTTGCCAACTATAGCGTTGTTGTTGTGTCAGAAGCATGCAGCAGAGTGAAATCAGGGCCTGAGTTGTAGGCAGTGAAAGCCCAGCCACAGGGACTATGACTTGACCCACTCACCTTCACAGTTTCTTCTTCTTGGGGTTTTTACAAGGATCAAATGCCGAACACACATTTGACCGGGATCTTGCCACAGTGGCCGGGTGGCTTATGTGAATTCGTAGTTAATCATAATATGTCTAATGAACCAGCTTACCCAGACTGTCTGTCAGTTCCAGACCCCGGCTGGCCTACTGTGCATTACTCACAGAATACTTTCATGGACCGGAGTACTTTTTAGGATGAGTTGGCTATGATAGTAATTATCTGTGTTGTATAATAAATGATTCCTCAAATTAGAGGCTCAACAAGAACAATAGCTTCTATTATTTCTCATGGTTGTTGTGTTGGGAATTGAGGTGTTAAGGGACACTGGGCACTTCTGTCTCAGAACTGAAGTCTTGTCTGTGAAGTGGCAGCTTTATGTGGCTGCAAGTTGGTGCTGGCTGGTGGCAGTCTCTTCCCCTAGCTCCTCAGAGGGGATCCGAGACATCAGGGCAGAAATCCACACCTTGCCCTCGCCACTCTGTGTTGTCAAACTGAGCCGCTCTGAGCAGCTCTGTGGGCAAAAGTGCCAGGAGGATTAATGATGACGTACTTCACTTTGCAGTCTGGCTTGCCCAATTAAGAGGGTTCAGTGTAATGCTCCTTTACCCGAAGGGCGTTTCTCCCCTGCCCTCTCCTATCGCAGTCCTTCTGGCTGGTCTCTGGCCCAGACTGTTTTTCTGTGTGTTCTTAAATTGGCATACAAAACCTTTATATTTTTTTCTTTTTCAGTTTTTGGGCCACATCTGGCAGTCCACAGGACTTACTCCTGGCTCTGTGATCCAGGGGCTCTACTGATAGTGCTTAGAGGGATCATATGGGTGCTGGAGATAGAACCTGGGTGGGCTGTTTGCCAGGCAAGTGCTCCTTGCTGTCTTGCTGTCTTGTCGCTGACTCAAGAAGCCTTTGTTTTGCCTTCTATTTTTATTCCAAAGGCAGGCCCCTCTTGCTCACCAACCCACAGGCTGTCTTTAGAGTACATATTTGTCTTTGCGAGGAACCTCACAAACCTCAGAGGCATAGAGAGAAAACTCAGAAAATAAATCTTGAAAAAGATAGCAGTACTAGCTGTTCTCTTTTTGAGTTGCAGTGACTCTGCCTGCTACTTGCCAGTCTGTAGCCACAGATGAGCCACAGGCTGGTTGTCCATCCAAGGGCGTCCTCTTGGCACTGCACTAACCCCCAGGAGAGACAGGAGACTGGGAGCCGTTTTGGCGTCTGTACCAGGGAAGCCCAGCTGGGGACAGACCCAGGCCGCCTTCATGTCACTTGTCCCCAAGCCCAAGCTTTTCCCCTCATGACACAGCTGACCCCTAGGTTCATCTTGGGAAAGCATATCGGATGCCCTGTTGAAGACTCAGGGGAGCCCACCATGGGGGTTTGGTGCCTTTGCTTCATTTTCCAACACCTTCCTGCATTGCCTCCTGTCACCATTGTGGGAAGAAGCACAGCTGCAGCCTCGGGTGTGACAGTCCTGTGAAATCGCATTGGTTCTGGCACTCAGTAGGCATTGTCAGGGCAGGGGACCTGCACATGCTTCTTGCAGTTACACAGTGCGCCCAGTTGGAAGATCCCCCATAGGAATTTAGACGTAGATTTATCTTGACAGCCATTCAGATTGTCCGGAAACGGAAGAAGGACAACACGCAATTTAGAGACATCGATTCTGATTCTCATGGGGACATTGTCTAGCTTCTTTTCTTTCAGGAAAAACTGTAATTTCAGGCACATGCTGATGCTTTTTGCTGTTCAAGACCATCACATTTATGGTTTAGTCAGTTGGCTGTATGTACCCTGGAGAAATTGATCTTTGTGAGTCTGCTTTCTGGAACAACCCCCTGCCCCATAGTGGGATAGGTGTGGAATGGGGGTAGCTGGATTCCTGTCACCGTGTCCATGCTACAGTCTGTCATAACTTAGCATTGTGTTATAAATAAATAACCCCCGACCCCTGCCCAAGTCTGGACTTATGCAGGGATTGAGAGAGTTTGATGACGCAGAAACTCTTGTTGTGGAGACAGGCCAACTTTCACATTCTCTCTTGTTTTCTCCTCTTTTCCAGCCTGCAAGTATTCCTGCCACAAGAAATGTGAAGCTAAGGTAAGGGTCAAGTTACTTTCCCATGGGGCTTTTTATAGTTGAATTGGTCTTTGATGAGTGATACACACAGAAGAGGGACAGTCTTTAGCCACAACCCCAGAAATGAAACTTCTTGAGAAATGGCTACTAAATTCTTTCCCTTAGGACGTATATGTTTCATCTAGGGAATGAGTGGAGGGGCTTAAAAATCCATGTTTTTCATTACAGAAAATAACTCTTAAGAATTTGGTTTCAGATGAGAAAGAACAATTTCGTTTGGCCGCGTCTCTGTGTTCTCTCTGTGAGAGATGACCCTTTGTTTCCAATTACTCGACAGGCTGCTTCTTGGGTGCCTTCGGGAGTGAGGGGTCGAAATAGAGGTTCAGGTCATGAATCTGGCCCTGAGACTCTAGTTTCTTTCAGAAGGTGTTTGTGGATTGGTTGGATTTCAGCCTGTGGTAAGCATCTGGGGACCCAGACTCAGGGTTTGGTTCTTCTGCTTGCAAATTCTCCTGCGAAGTTCTCTTCCCTTTGGAAGCAGTGGGGCCTGCTGGGCGTGGCTGCACATAGGTTTCTGCTGAGGAGGCCTGCAAACACCCTGCACGTGTTAAGTGGGGAGGAAGTGCAGGCTTACCGGGGTTGAGCCCTGGGTCTGCGTCTCTCACACTTTCTAACTTTTTTTTTTCTTTTTGGGTCACATCTGACAATGCACAGGGGTTGCTCATGCAGTCAGGAATTACTTCTGGAAGTGCTCGGGAACTATATGGGATGCTGGGAATTGAACCTGGGTCAGCCATGTGCAAGGCAAATGCCCTACCCACTGTACTATCGCTCCAGCCCCATCTCCCACACTTTCTATACATGAAGTCTCCTTCAATGCCCAGTGGAGCCAGAGTGCACCATCCTGAGTGCTAGCTGGGAGCCTATCAGTGGTCCTGAGTGATTTCTTCATGACTGGAGCTTCAGGAAGATGGAGTTTTAGAGCAGTGGTTCTTAAATCACTGGCCTGGGCACTGAGTGTGAACTTGTCATCCTTAGAATTGTGTGGAGGTGAGTCTCCTGGGTTTGATGTGTGGAAAGTTCCCAGCAGGTTCTCTGGGTATCAGATAAAGGGAGCTGGGCAGACAGACCCCTGTGGCTGTGAGCTGGCTTCGTGTGGCACATTCTGGACCTGGGAACTGGGGTCTGCTTTCTCCACCATCCCACCACCCCTGGAGACACATGCAGACATGCATGGAGATGCACGCACATTCATGCAGATGCATGCACTTCACATACAGTCATACTTGTGCATGTGCATAAGTCACAGTTGGAACATACATACTCACGTGTGCATACAGCCATTCACACATGCATTCACGGGAAAACTGCAGGCTCTCCAGGCCTGATTCTGTTTTCTTTTTATAGTAAAGATAGAATGAATTCAGAATTTTATTATGAAGAACATGGAACATGTAGACGTCATGTCTGGCATGGAGTTACTAGTGTTACCCTGCAGCCAGCCTCCAGGCCTTCTCCCAACCCTTTCTGTCGCATTTGTGTTTGGTCCTTGCTTATTGATGTTGCATGGGAGATGGTGTGGTTCTGTAGTCGTTGGTTGGCTGATGGATTTCTCTAGTTAACCAGAGTGTGTGAGTGGATGATCTTGCCTGGACGGGAATTGACCCAAGCCTCCCACATGCAGTGTGAGTGCTCACACCTTTGAGGTATCTCCTGGCTCCCATTTCCTTAGTGACATCACAGTCGTCTTGCTCTCCTGCACTCTTGGATATGGCTTATTTCTAGACCATTCTTTAGTTCTGTCTTGTCCTCAGACACACTCTGCTCTCAGGTATGCTGTGTACTTTTAGTCTAAGTGATTTTGTTGGGGGCTGGAGCGATAGCACAGCGGTAGGGCGTTTGCCTTATAAGCGGCCAACATGGCTGACCCGAGTTCGATTCCTCCGCCCCTCTCGGAGAGCCCGGCAAGCTACCGAGAGTATCTCGCCCGCACGGCAGAGCCTGGCAAGCTCCCCGTGACGTATTCGATATGCCAAACACAGTAACAACAAGTCTCACGTTGGAGACGTTACTGGGCCCGCTCGAGCAATCGATGAACAACGGGAGGAGTGTGATCACCGTGATTTTGTTGGAGTAAGAGCCCTTTGTAGTTCACATATCTGAGGGAATGTTTCAGGTTACAGTAGTTTTTCATACTCTCTGAGCTTTTAGAAATGTCCCTCCAGTCCTGAGCATGGCCTTCCCATGCACACAAGGTGCTTAGACACATGAACAATGTGGCATTTTCTGCATAGCTGGTGTCTCATCCCCACAGTGGGCAGAAAAAGGAGAAGCATCTCAGTATCTGGATGTCATGTGCCATTTCTGCACATATGTGTGTGTATGCACACACACCTATATGCAGAGTGTGTGCATGTAGATAAAATGTGTACATGTGAGTGTATGTGAGTATGCATGTATATATGCACCTTGTACACATCAGTTGTGCATTTGTGCAAGCACCTTGAGTGCGTGAATGTGTGTAAGCACTTTGTGTGTGAGTGTGCCTGCGTCTAAGCCTGTGTTTACATGAGTGTGCATGTGTGCATCTTGTGTATGTGGGTGTGCATTGTATGCACCTTGTGTATAAGAGTGTACATGTATGTGCACCTTGTATATATGAGTGTGTGCACCTTGTGTACATGTGTATGCATGTGTGTGCACTTTGTGTACACGAGTGTGCATGTATGTACCTTGTGTGCATAAGTGTGCCTGTGTGTGCACCCTGTGTACATGAGTGTGTGCATCTGTGTTCTTAAGTGTACATGTGTGCACCTTATGTACATTGGTGTGTGTGCACCTTGTGTACATGAGTGTGCGTGTGTGAACCTTGTTTCTCTGAGTGTGTGTGTGTCTGCATGAGTGTCTGTGTATAAGCACCTCGTGTGTACATGTGTGCCTGTGTGTGCACCTGCGTCTATGAATGTGTGTGTGTATTTGCACCTTGTGTATGTGACAGAGCCTCTTGCTGTGACTGTATGGCTGGCTCAGTTATTTCTGACCTCATGCTTTTAAAAAGTTACTAGTTTGTCAAGGGGTCCCAGCCCCAGTTACTCATGGCGTTGAATTTCTTAGTTTAGAGGTTATTCCCAGAGACTTTACTGTTACTGACTCTGACATTTGTCTTTAATAACTGGTGATTTGCTGGTAGCTAGAAGTTTTATTTTCATTAGACACTGGCAGGAGGGCACTGGTTGCAGCCCTATGGCTCAGTGGCAGGAAGGCCAGGAGCAAGGATGACCATGCCCCTTTTTACTCTGAAGCAACAGTGGCAGTCCCCTTGCCCCCCAAGATGAGCTGAGATGTGGCTCTCAGGTGGTAGGGTCTTTGGTTACCACAGCGTAGGGGTCCTAAATGCAGGTTTGACTGGTTTTCCTGGAACTAGGAAGTGTGAGTATTGCAGACAAATCTAATGTTCTTGCTGGATAGGTGGCCTGACCTGCTGATGGGGTGAACCATGTTCAGCAGGTGCCCTCTGAGTGGGACCCACAGACCTCGTGGACAGACAGTTGAGGAGTGTTTGCAAGGGCTTAGGACTCTGCGAGAAATGTTGCAGCTAGTGGTGGACTCACGATCATCACAGTGGCTCTGTCAGAGGCTCCTCGCCGGGCCTCAGGTACCTCTTGGATAGACCAGAAGCTGTGGCGAAAGTGCAGAATGGGGGCTGAACCTTCGTGGAGAAGGTGGACAGTGAAAGGGAGACGTCAGCCTGGCCCTGATGCCCCAGGGTCATGCTCCCTGGGTTTGGAGCAGCATGAGGCTCTGCAGGTGAGGTCAGGTAGAGCACAGACGTGCCTGGGATCCCAGTGCAGTCTGCTGAAGCGAGGTCAGTCCCCAGAGCCTCCGTTTCTTTATGTGGACAGTGGGTGAATATTCCCATGACCGTGACACTCCTTTGCTGTTAATTTGATAATATTATCTAGGTCTTAGGAAAGCCAAATAATGTATAATTACTGAACGTTTGGGATTCCAGATTGTGGGACTGTGTATGCTCAGGGAGACGCAATGTCTGGGTGCTGTGATTTGGATTATTCCCGACTTGACTCATTGGCAAGGGGAAAAAGGAAGTTTCAGAAATAAAGCTGATTCAGAAGCAGACAATGGTGAGCTGCGCACGGTGGGGGAGGGAGATAGGCCCCCCTCTGTTCCCAGAAGCATGCACTCCCTGTCACTCCTGGTGACAGAAACTCCAGCTTTGCTACTGACGCCCCAGTCATGGCCCTTCCATACCTGCCCTCCCTGGGTAACAGCTCAGGTGTCCTGACCACTGTGTGCCCACCCCACCGCAGGACCCAGGGCTGTCTGGGTGAGCATTCTGGGGAGCCATGCGGACCAGGCTGTGGGGCTGCTCTGGCCTCAGTTCGTTGGACCCTGCTCTCAGAACTCAAGTGAGGCTTGTGATTTGTCCAGAGCCGCAGTAGCTTCACGGGCCAGTCTCCCTGCCGTGTCTTGTGTGGACACAGCTCTAGATCTTAACTCTGCCATGAAGTTCAGAGTCCAGAGCTGAACTTCCTTGGTGCTGGGGGCAGATGCAGCTGCCCGGCTTCTGCAGGTCGCCCTGTTGACTTAATCATTAACTGAAGTCTGGCCATGGGCGTTCATCTCCAGACTGTTTCTTTCTCCAACTCCAAGCCATAACTTGCTGTTGGAAGCTGCTGTGCCCCAGCTGTTTTCAGTGGGTGAGAAATGAATGTCTCTTGTCACAGAGCTCCCACGTGCCACCGGTCGAGGGTTGCTCCGTGCCGCGGTCAAGTTTTTGCTGTTCTCAGTGTTCTTTGTGTGGGTTCTTATTTCCTGGGGTCCCTGGTTGTGCCACCTTGGTGCCACTGTCCATGGACCCTCCGGTGACCTCTAGCCCTGATAGTGCATCTGGTACAAGGACATGAAGAGGGTGCCCTCACAAAAACGTCTGCTTCTAGGGCCCCCACCCTGCTCCATGTCTCCCCACAAGTTCACTGTCCACCAGTCCCCCCAAGCTTTGT